TGGGTTTCCTCCCGGGTGCTCCCGGTTTCCCCCACAGTCCAAACACATGCGCTATAAGGGAACTGATCAACTACACTGGCTGTAGTGTATGAGTGTGTGTGTGAATGAGTGTGTATGGGTGTTTCCCAGTACTAGTTTGCAGCTGGAAGAGCATCTGCTGCCTAACACATATGCTGGAATAGTTGGCGGTTCATTCAGCTGTGGCAACCCCTGATTAATAAATGAACTAAGCCAAAAAGAGAATGAATGAATGAATGAATGAATGAATGAATGAAGAGTGACTGAGTGAGTTCTGAATGTATTTGCAGGTTTGTCAGACTTCAGTGTGTCAGATCATCAAACTGATGGAACTATTGGTCAAAGATAAGGCGAGGAAACACAACACACGCCTTTTAGATGGAGGTTTTATTACTGTGGGATTTATCATTGAGTGTGTGTTTTCAGAGTGTGTGTGTGTGTGTGTGTGTGTGTGTGTGTTTTGGCAGAATCACACGTCGCGCCCCGGTGAGAAGCAGAGGCTTAAAATTAGAACATTCTCTCACGATCTCGCTGCGAACGTGTGATGAACATTCATTTACAGCCTTTCACTGTTTTTATTCGCCAAGATCCTGCATCTTTTCTCACGTCTCTGCGTGTGTGTGTGTGTGTGTGTGTGTGTGTGTTTCTCACGTCGTTCTCCCCTGATGCAAAAAAAGAGATGAAGTGATGAGAGATGAAAAGAAAGTTGAGTTGAGAAGAGTTCATCAAACTGTGTGTGTGTGTGTGTGTGTGTGTGTGTGTGTGTGTGTGTGCGCTTGTGTTTGTGTTTGTATTTATATGTGTTTTTTTCGTGTGTGTGTGTGTTTAGTGTAAGAGTGTGTTCGTGTATGTGTGTGTGTGTGTGTGTGTGTGTGTGTGTGTGTGTGTGTGTATGTGTATGTGCGCTCAGTAGTCAGACAATAATACTAGTCACACACTCGTATAGTAATAGTACAGTCATATCAGAGCGTGAAGGCGATGTCTGACCTCTAGCATCATGTGTTATTTAGGTTTCATTTGATTATATTTCAGTGACGTTGTGATGTAAAATGATTAAGTGCACAATATTTAACTATTAAAGAAACAAAAACAATCAAACACACAGAAACTGTTCAGACAAGTGTGATGTTTTGAGTACATTAGCGCTGTATATGAACATTTTATATTAACTCCACGGACGGTTCAGTCAGCTTTAAACATATTCATCATATAAACACATTAGAGCAAGGTTTAATTGTGTTTTGGCTCTCCTTGATGAGTTTAGTGTTATTAACCTGTATTTGGCTGAACAGAGAGAAACAGCCACTGCGGTTCATAACCTGAAACAAAAGAAGTAAATCTGCGCGATCTAGCGAGAGTGTGTAGCGCTGTGCTGTCTGTGCGAGTGAAGCTGGCGTTCTGCGATTAGTGCCATCTGCTGCTCACACACACAGAATAGAGAGATCTGAAGTGAAGACGTCTCTGGAGGAATAACTCATTATGATCTTAACAGACGCGCTCTTACCTAAAACACTCAGAATAACACACACAAAGCACATAAGCGGCCAATTAGCGGGACAGGTACAGTGAGCCGCGCCGGGATGAGCGCGCACGTGTGTGTGTGTGTGTGTGTGTGTGTTCTGGAGCTCTGAGGACCTGCTGAAGGCTCAGTTCTGGGAATCTGTAGAGAGACCTGTGTTAATATCTCACTCATCTCACTGGAAATACCTGAGAAACACTGAATATTTACTCAGTTCTGCTGACGAGTGTTTCAACCAATCAGACGAGCTCTGAGTGCCATGTGACCAGGCCCACACAATATCAATCAATCAATCAATCAATCAATCAATCAATCAATCAATCAATCAATCAATCAATCAATCAATCAATCAATCAATCAGTCAGACAGACTGTCCGTCCGTCTTATCTGTCTTGTCTCTCTGTCTGTCTGTTTGTCTACCTATCAATCAATCAATCAATCAATCAATTCATCCATCTTTATATCATACACACACACACACACACACACACACACACACACACACACACACACACACACACACTGTCCAGTACTGCTTCACACAGACAGACTCTGCTGGATGAATAAGTGAGCAGATGAGCGTCTGCTGCTCTCTTCTGCTGAAATGAAGAAATCCCCCAATCTTCATCTATAAAACACTCTGAGAGTTAAAGCCGCAGTAAAGCGCGAGGAGTGTGTTACGTGCTCTAGAAGTCAACCAGAGGCCGTCTCTCCACCTGCTGCACTGATTCCATACCTCTGGAAGATGCTGGAGAGTCAAAAACTGAACACTGATCATTCTCTGATCTGAAGAGTGTTGAGTGTTGACACTTTCCACTGATGATGCACGAGAGCGATGACGTAACATAGTTGACGATAACAGAGATGACGGTAACAGAGTCCACGATAACAGAGATGACGTAACATAGTTGACGATAACAGAGATGACGTAACATAGTTGACGATAACAGAGATGACGTAACATAGTTGACGGTAACAGAGATGACGTAACATAGTTGACGATAACAGAGATGACGTAACATAGTTGACGATAACAGAGATGACGTAACATAGTTGACGGTAACAGAGATGACGTAACATAGTTGACGGTAACAGAGATGACGTAACATAGTTGACGATAACAGAGATCACGTAACATAGTTGACGATAACAGAGATGACGTAACAGAGATGACGTAACATAGTTGACGATAAAAGAGATGACGTAACATAGTTGACGGTAACAGAGTCGACGATAAAAGAGATGACGGTAACAGTCGACGATAAAAGACATGACATTACATAGTTGACGATAACAGAGTCGACGATAACAGAGTTGATGGTAACATAGTCGACAATAACAGATGACGGTAACAAAGTCGACGGTAACATAGTTGATGATAACAGAGATGACGGTTGCAGAGTCAACGATAACAGAGATGACAGTAACAGAAATGACGGTAACGGTCGAAGGTAACAGAGTTGACATAACAGAGTCAATGTAACAGAGTCGACGTAACAGTTGATGGTAACAGAGTCGACAGTAACAGAGTTAAGTTCTCCAGCTTGTTGTGTTTTAGATGTTATCCTCAGAGCAGACTCCACATGGCGTGTCTAAAACACAGTTGTATGAATTTTGATCGTGTTATGGATTTCGACACATCATTAATCTACCAACGGTGAATTCTAAACATTTCGCCCAAATGAATGAGGGAAAAAGAAGAACACGAGTAAAGCCGTGCAGAGTTTCCCGCCTCAGGACTTTGTCATCATGATGTGTTTTTTGTTTGTTTTTGAAAAATAATTCAGTGTTTTTTAGCAAACCTGCAGAGCAACTGACCGCTGCTCACCTGTAGAGATGCAGACAGAGCCTCTGCTGTAGCGCTGCTGCATCTACAGACAGACGCTCTCCTGTTCATCTTTAATCTGTACAGCCGAGAGCATTAATGAAATGAAGGATGAGCTCAGATCAAGAACTGTCAGGAGCACA